ACTATTACATTTTAAATAGGGTAACTTGTAATCTGTAACCTATTACATTTTCAAAGTAACCTTCCCAACACTGACCGTGAGTTGTGTTTAATGGTGGATAAATGGAATAATGAGCTGCGCCCTCAACTGTACAGATGTGAATTTACATTTCCTTCAGCCTGACACTTTTGATGTGAGAGGGTTTTTACATTTGCTAAAAATATAACTTTTTTATTTTAAAAACAAACAAGCTAGCCCAGTAACGTAACACATTACTTTCCATAAAAAGTAACTAAATAACGTAATTAGTTACTTTTTATTGAATAGCCCAATATTGTAATGCATTACTTTTAAAAGTAATTTTCCCCAACACTGGCAATAATTATTATATGTTTGAATTTGCTTACATTTTTGACAAATGTATAGGGCAAATTTAAAAGGGCTAGAAATATGTTTAGTGCATTACAGCATATACCTAATGTCTAAAATGTTAGCGCAAATCAGTCATACCCTTGTCTTTTACAATTTTAAATCATTTCCTAATCCATTACCCAACTTTCGACACCTAAATTGAACAGATTCTATATCTAGGGTATTCAAATATATTCACATGAAATTCACCCCAATTTGTCATAATATGCACTGAACTTACGCTTGAGCATTTTCACTGCCACGCGTGTGATGCTTTCGTCCTTGACAAGCCCATAAGCAGTTGCCTGCACCACTTTCCCAAAAGCTCCTGCTCCTAAAACTTGTCCTGAAGTAAAAGCAATGGATCGTTTGTTGTAGTAGTTCTTATCATTAACAACAAAAACACTATTATAACATAAAACAGTGAGTGTAATCGAGGTTACAGTACCAAGCTTCAGCTTATTTCGAGGAAACTCCAGTTTTTTGTCGTATGGAAGCTGGGTGGGGTCAATGAATGTGTAGTTGTTCCCTTCATTGGCCTCAAAGATTTTCCAGTGGATTTCATACTTGTGTGCCTTAAAAGAGAAAGTGATGTCAAAAAGCTATTTACTGCATAATTTGTGAGTACAACTGAAAAAATACCTTTCTGTGCTTGTAGAAGAGAATTAACATCCCTAAGATCGCCAGAGCCAAGGCTCCAATGAGAACAACAGTGATCCACACTGAAGTTGACCATACTGATGCAGTACTGAGGAGATCTATACACATTAAAGATGCATCAGATGACAACTCCATTTCAAATGCACAAAAACATGCTCAACTGCAGAGATGTTTGCATTTTTCTTACATGAAATTTTAAAAGTAAAGGTATCACGATCTTCTCCAGCAATGTTTGTAGCCACACACTCAAAGGTTAAAGTAGTAGTCACGTTAGTCACTGGTAAGACGCTCTTCACCAGCACTGGTTCATACTCTCTGACATCCCCCAAAGTGGACTGGGTGGCCATTAATTCCACAGCTGATGTTTGGTTATAACTACACCTGTCACCCAATCATAATAAACTCAGAAAATTAGAGCAATCTCAGACATATTTTTTAAAACATACGATGTTACCTTACATCTCAAACAAAGACAAGACGTCCCATTTTGGTGTCCACATCGAATTAAATTTAAAAAAGCAAATGCAGCAAACTGTCTAATTTAAAGGGGTAATATGATGTTGCTAAAAAGAACATTATGTTGTGTATTTGGTGTAATGAAATGTGTTTATGCGGTTTAAGGTTCAAAAAACACATTATTTTCCACATACTGTACATTATTGTTTCTCCTCTATGCCCCACCTTTCTGAAACGCATCGATTTTTACAAAGCTCATCGGTCTGAAAAGCGAGGTGTGCTTTGATTGGCCAGCTATCCAGTGCGTTATGATTGGCCGAATACCTCAAGCGTGTGACGGAAATGTTACGCCCCTCACCATACAGTGATGATGCCCTGTCAGGCCGGAGCAACGATTGAAAAACATTAGGGATGCACCGATACTGATACTGGTATCGGTATCGGGCCCGATACTGAGCTCCTGTACTCGTACTCGTACTCGTTAAAATGCCCCGATACC